GGCCGGGGGAGGGGGGGTGGGGGTACTCGTTCAGGCGCGCCAGCAACACCGCGGACTCGTGGAAAAAGGGCTGTCGTCGGCACCGCCGCGTGCGCGCGCGTGTGGTGGCATGCATGCACGCGCTTGCGGGGCGAGGAGCGGGGAACCGTCAAGCGCAAAAGCCAAAGGCCGCTGCGCCGGTGGCCACCTTGGGGTGCGCGTAGGGGCAGGTGGCCCAGTCGTGGTTGTATGGGTTCTTGCACATTTCAACCTGCGCGGCGGTGCGGGGGCGGCAGGCATCCACTCAGGCCCTGCAAATGACACTTGACGGCGGGTCAACGTCCACACACACGCCCCATGGGAGCGTCGCCGCGAGCGTGGCGGCCGCGTGCTGGGCGCGGTCCGCTGGCCCTGGCACCTTGTAGGAATACATGAGGAAGTCAGCCGAGAGGTCGCCGCCAGGCGCCATCACCGGGGCCGCCTGCCGAGCGCGACGGGGGCAAGGGAGGGGGGCCGCGGCCGCCGCTCGACGAGCGCGCAATGGGCTGACAGCCGCCGCGTGCGCAGCATGCTGTGTGCGCACGCACGGCATGCTGGGTGCGGACGCAGTGGCGGATGTTGCCAACATGTCGGGAGTGGGCCCCGCAGCCAAGGTGGGTGCGCAGCAGGTGCCCGCGCGCGAGCCTGCAAGTGATCTGCTGCACAGTTGGGTGTGCGCAGACGGCCCTCCCATCGCCGATGGCCGTGCCAAGATGCCGCCCACCTGAAGCTGCTCAAACATTTGGCCAAACATGGCTCCATCAGCCGCCGTAGGCGACTGCGAGAGACACCGTTAGTGTGAGCCCAACGCACACTCAGCGACGCGCTGCGGGGCGCGCAGGGCCCAACACTGCGGGCCGCCCTCCGACGCCCGGGCCCCTCTCACCTCGTCCACGAAAACCTCCATTTGCAATCCGTCTAGGCGCCCTACGGGCGCCGTGGCCCCTGCCAGTGCCAGGCGCACCGCGGCAAGATTCTGCCAGAAGGGCTATTCGTTGCGCCACAAATGAGCGATACAACCGTCGAGTAAGCCTGAGACCTGTGAGTATGTCGAACCAACAGGAACATGTCAAGCGGGTTCCTCGGCCGGCCTGCCTGCCAGCACGAGTCAAGCGGCGCCACGTCTCGGACACATGATTTTGGATTTCGATGGTGATCAGCGCGTTCCGCGATGAGGCTCGTGGACTGCCTCTGGGTCGTGATGTGACAAGGGCGACGCCGGCATCAGCGGCCTGCGCTTGCGATTGCCTGCTGAGCAGAATCGCGATACACGCTGCACGTCGTATGCTAGAACCAGCCAAGAATCAGCACACCGACAGTTGCCTGCCGCCCGACACGTCGTTCACACGATTTCATACCAGGTGACAGGCCCTCACTACAGGGGCGTCGTCTGGACGTGTGTGTGAATTTGCAAGCTGCCCGACAGCTGAAGAAGGCGTGCAAAAGAAGGCCTGCATCGTCTTGTGAGTGAGCGGGCCAGGTGACATCCCCATTGGCCAGGGCGGCCAGGATCTTGCTGTGTCCTGCCACTCACCAGCAGGTTTGAATCGCCACTCTGCTCCTTGCTGCTGCTGCCGCTGCTGCCGCCGCCGCTGCTGCTGCTGCTGCTGCTGCTGCCGCCGCTGCCGCTGCTGCCTCCGCTGCCGGTGCTGCCGCTGCCGTCGCCACTGCTGATGCCGCAGTTGCTGCCGCTGCTGCGGCCGCGGCCGCCGCCGCTGCTGCCGCCGCCGCCGCCACCGCCGCCGCCGCTGCTCGTGATGCTGCTGCTGCTGCTGCTGCTGCTGCTGCTGCTGCTGCTGCTGCTGCTGCTGCTGCTGCTGCTGGCTGCTTTGCATGCGGTGTGTGCGCATGGGCGTCCATGTGTGCGCGTGCGTGCGTGCGTGCGTGCATGCATGCGTGCGTGCATGCATGCGTGCGAGCATGCATGCTCTTGTGCGTGCATGTGCGTGTGTATTTGCGTGTGCGTGCGTGCGTGCACGCACGCACGCGCTCGCGCGCGCACTCGCACTGGCAGAGGGCAGGTAGGGGCGCGGTCTGAGAGCAGGTGACCCCACCCCTGGGGTGAGTACACAGGTGGGTTGGTTGGTTGAGCAGGTGGGGAAGCATGCCAAGGCAAAAAGTGAGCTTACAGCATCATGGATAAAAAGCCAGTGGGCATCATGCAAGCCTATGTGGATTGCTCTTCAAAGGGCTGCCGGAACGCCAGATGGGTGGGTGGCTGGATGTCCCGGGAAGGCATGGCAGGTACCAGACGCATCATCCTGTGCAACCGCATATGTCCCGTGTTTGTGCCATTTGTGCGACGTCGCTTTGATGGCTGTGGCGCAGACGTGGCAGTGCTCAGGTGGCTGGGCATGACTGCAGGGGGCGAGCCGAGTTGTGCGGTGGCGACAGTTTCGTTCATCGGACCGCCGCGTCGCCCGGCTAAGACCAATGGTATCTAACGGGGTTTCGCCCAGCAACTGAAGTTCTTAAAATTTATACTCTTGCTCGTCCACTCGGCCACTTGATCCAAAACGCGCACAGCCCCCGCCCTCAAACGGAGTGCCTCGCATGCCTTGATATGGGTGACGCTCGGTCAAGCCCCACTATTCTGATTTACTCGTTTATGACGTGCAATTTCTAACGTTTTCATTGTTGAGACTGTACTCGTGCGGCAGTGCTTTCGTTCAAAGATCTTTCTGCACAACAGGTAAGCGGCCATCATAAGCCGTTTAAAAATATTCTCAAGCGCTATATCTTCTAAACCATGCTCCAGCCGCGGCAGCGCTCCTGGCCGCGCCGCCTGCGTGCGTGTTTCCACGCCACTGATGCCACGCCAGAGTCAACCACGGCGCACGCACGCCGCCCTCAACCAGCCCAAAACGGCCCTCGCCTGTGCGCCTGACACCCGTTCGCGCTTTCTTTCATCATAGGCGCAAGTGGTGCCCACGGAAGGCACGGCGGCGGAAGAGTCGTGGTCGCGGCTTCGGGCGTTCGAAACCCCCACGCTGCTTGGAGGGGCCGCTCCCCGACGCGCCCTCTCGAGCCATGGAGGAGCAGCTGTGTGCGGCGGAGACTAGGTTTTGGATGTACAGCTACAAGGTGAGGATCAATGCGCGGCGCAGCCCAGCACGTGAGCAGGATCGCAGCGCCCTCCGGCCACATGGCCTCGCACAGCGGCCGCCGCCGGCCGGCGCGGGCGGGGCGGGCGGGCGTGCGCGTCGTTGCCGCCGCCCCTCCCCCTGCGGCGCGACACCCCCCGCCGCGGCTCCCACTTTGCAGGTACACCCATGCCTGGAGCCCATGCCGCATGACTGGGCGACTTGGTGAGTAACCCCGCGCTGACCTGTGCCTGTCCCCGCTCGCGCAGGCCGCGCCCATGTTCGCAGCCCCGTTCCCACCCAAACCCCACCCACGGCCGCGCACCGCCTGATCCCCGCCCTCCCCCCGCCGCGCCGCGCGTCCCCGCAGCCCGCAGCAGCACCATACGGAGAAGGCGGCGCGCCGCTGCCCGCGCACGTTCCGCTACTCAGCGGTGCGCTGCCCCCAGCACAACAAGAAGCTGTCGGGCGGCGGCCGCGCGACTTGCGCCAAGGGCGACGGCTGCGGCTGCGCGCACACCGTTTACGAGCTATGGTGGGCAGTGGCAAAGGCCGCGGGGCGGGCCCGGGGCTGGCGGGGAAAGGCGGCCGATCGGGGCGGCGGCCGGGCAGCGGGGCAGTTGGCGTTGGGTGGTAGGGTCGGAGGGCGGCGGCCTCCTGGGGCGGCCAGGCGCCACGCCCGCCGGCATGCCGCGAGAAGCAGGGCCCCACCGCAAGCGTGTGACCGATGGAAGCACCCCCCAGCGGGTGGGGCGCCGCTTTGGGAGCGGCGGCCCGGCCCGCGCCGATTCTGTCGCGCGTGCGAGGCTCCCAGCGGCCGGTGAGAACCACTCGCCCCGTTCGCCCCACCCGCCCCCGCAGGCTGCACCCCGATCGCTTCAGGACTCAGATGTGCCTCCACGGGGACGCCTGCACCAAGCCCCTGTGCTTCTTCGCCCACAGGTGAGGGGCGCCGCCCGGCCACGCGCGCGCGCGCACGCCCGCCACGCGTTGTGCGGCACGCCGCGCGGGGCAAGCGCCTCCGCAAGACGCCGGGAGCCCTGCTCTGCGGCCCGCCGTCTGCTGCGGCATGTCGGTGTCTCCGCAGGCGATGCGCCTCCTCGGCTCCCTCGCCCGCCCGCTTGCCGCCCCGTGGGTCCCACCCCTGACGACGCGCCGCCCTCCCACCGCACCCCCCCCCAGCGCCGCCGAGCTCCGGGGCCCCCAGCAGCTGCTGCTGAGCAGCAGCCCCCGCTCCAGCGCCGGCGCCGGCGATGACGCCCGCGGCGGCCGCGACCAGGGAGAACTGGATCCTGCAGAGGAGCTGCTGGAACTGCACGCCCGCGCGGGGCGCGGCCGCTTCAGCCTCGCGGCGGCGCTCGCAGAAGTCC